CGTTCATGTTACCTCTGATGAAGATTAAAGGTGACCTGGAACCATAAGCTATAGCACCCCAAACCATAACTCCAACAGTGTGATGAACATGTCTTTCAACAAAAAACTGTGGATTCCTCCTTTCACCACGTCGCCTTCTAACCCTGGCACGACCATCGTGCATGCCTAAACAAAATCGAGACTCGTCACTAAAGACAATACTGTTCCATTCCTGATCCCAGAGTGACCGTTGTCTGCACCACTCAAGGCGATTACGTCGGTGTTCTCGAGTTAAAGGGAGGAGCCAGTGTGGCCGGTATGAAAACAAGCCAAAACTTCTCATTCGTCGGTAAACACTTCGCATGCCAATAGGTCTTCCGTGTTCTGCAAACCATTCATTTGCAATGGACCTGGTAGTGGAGAAACGGTCCCTTAAGGCCAATAATCTTAGGCGGCGATCTTCACGGTCTGTTGTTCTCCGGCGGCGTCCAGTCCCCCTTGCTCTTTGCGTACGGCCTTCTCGAAGCCATGCCTGACAACACCTAACCGCAGTGTCTACACTTCTTTGCACTCTAACTGCAATTGCCCAAAGAAAGTCCAGCTTCCCGAAGTCCCACTATACGGCCCCTATTGAATTCACTAAGTTGACGAAATCGTACAGGTCTCCGTACTCTAGGCATCGTAACCGATCGTAAAGGATGTCAAGAACCAAAATCCGCCAACGTTGATTCTTTACTGCGGCTAAAATATTCATTTTTAGAGCGTTAGTGAATTAAAAAAAAAGCAGTATAAAAACCGGAATGTCCAACTGATAAGGCTGAACATTTTTTCACTTTACATTCACCAACTTTTATTAAAATAAAACCATTTAAACTGGGTGTTCGGATTTATATGTCACTTAGTATATAAAGTACTTCCGAAGAGAACAGAAAAAATAGAATTTTCTCAAAATCGTTTTAATTTTTCCTGATTTTATTTGTAGTGGTATTTAAATATAAACTCCACATTAACATTGCTACTTTTTGTCCTCCAATCTTATGGATAATTAAAATTTCAACATGACATTTCGTCTCATGTTTTCCAGCACCAACTCCATTTTTTCTTGAGGACACCATATTCTATTTCTGCACAGGTGAATAGAGTTCTCAATTCTGATTCTAAAAATGCGTAATATGCCATACATTGACATTGTCGAACCTTCGTTATTTAAAAAAAAACATTCCTAGGTAGGCTTTGAAATTATCAGACAAGAATCTGTTTTATACACCAAATTTATGCAAAATTTTTTGTATCTTGTCTTAGCTTTATTTAAGATGGGATTTGGGATAATTCTGCTCTAAAATCACTAAATATTGACCAATACAAATTGACACTAGTTTGCATTTGAAATAGGTACATACATGGACATATTGAAAGCAGCCAAACATACTTTAAGGAGTATTAGACAAATATAAACATTAAAATTGCGCAAGACTACTGGCACTTGTTTGGAAAATTGCCGTTATATGATTGCTTTGCTATTAAAGGGTCCTTACTTCTAGCTACGCTATATCATTTATATATTGTCTACCCAGAGCATTAAAAGGAACAAGGAACAATTCGATTAAAAAATAACTATCTTGGTTTAAGTTGTGAATGGTAGTATCAATTTCAGAGTGACTCATAATTTTTACAATATTAAGTTGTTTTGACAACTATCCAAGTAGTAATCTAATCTAATAGTATCTTAAAATAACCTATCTATTCGTCTGTTCGTCATGGCCTTCATTTATGCGAAGTGGCCATTTTTATTCATATAGCAGTCACTTGAGAAATGGAAGCAGTAAATCAATTGATAACAGCTGTTATCAAATTATACTTTGCAAAAGCTAGCCCGTGGAAATAAGTACGATGTGGACACCAGAACCAGCGGCGCCGGAAGTGGGAGGCAGGAGGGACCTCCTCCAGAATTTGCAATTTGGCCTCCGGGCTCTTTTTGGCTTTCTATAGACCACGAAGTAGGCCCTTTTTGGCATACAAAGCAGGCCCTATGATTGACTTGGAAGTCGATGGCGAAGCAGGTTTTAAAGGCGTCGCTATGCGGGTCCTGCAAAATCATAATATCAAGTATTGGGTGAATTTATCAGCAGGAATACTGAAAGGCGAAGGACATTTGGACTTGTTGATGCAAAATAGTGCAACAAAATAATTAATAATAATAATAATTGTCTTTATTGGTTTAACCAAAGGTTCACATTGCGTGCTCTTCCTCTAAATCTTACAAAGAAACAAAAAAAATGTAGAATTAAAATAATGAATGAGTTTAATGATCCAATCAATCAAATAATAAAAATTGAGTATACATTATGACATTTCATTCTTGATGTTTTTTGTAAGTAAAAGATTTAATTGTCTTCTTAAATGGAAGTTCCCTCAGCCCCAGAAACTCCCGAGGGATGTTGTTATATTCCTTAGCAATTTGGTAGCTGAAACTCCTTTCATAAATAGTGGTTGTATGGGTAGGAGGAGTGATGAGGAGTTTGGATCTAATATTTATATTGTGAACTTCTGTTCGAAATTTAATTATAAAGGTAGGTAGGTCTCTTTTGTGTAATAATTTTATCAAACTAGGTGACCGCAGAAATTTTGAATCTGTTTCTCATGTTGATCCATTTAGTTTCTAAAATTTTTTCCGAAATGTGATCATATTTTCTTATGCCATAAATATTTTGTGAGAGATTTCTGATCTTCTCTTTTAAGTTTTGTATTTTCTTGTCATTAATAAAAATACTTTTTACTTACAATTCATATTATATCTGCCTTTTTGTGTGCATACGCCAAACTGTCAGAATCTACAAACCCAGCTCTCTCGTACACACACTGAAAAACACAAAATAGCTATCGTGCGACGATATCTCTTTGGTAGGCCCTTTTGGATGAACCTTGGCCCATGGTACTCGCTCCGTCCCTAGCTCAAAATACTTCCGGCGCCTCTGATCGAAACTGCAGTTGTAAAGTTGTAGTAGCAATAATGGAGGAAGCAGATCCCGGTACTTGGCCACTTTTGATCCTTTTTGCCTATTCCATACACTAACGATGGACCTAACAGATTAGCTAGCACCAAAACTTGATGCTGAAAATAGATCACAATATCCGACCAACTTTATTGTCTGTCAAATGCCTTTCTTGCTGAATAAGCTCAGCTTGGAGGTCTTGATACACGACATGCTTGCTTAGGAAGTAGAACGATGTTTCGCCTTTATGGTAGGCCAAAGCTGGTAGTACAGTGAGAACTTAGTACTTCTTTGAGTGACGAGACCCCTATGTGGTGTGCGATACAGAGATGCCGGAACAAACGTCTAGTCTTCTGCTACCAACGTAGGAGTTGGTAGTATCGCGTTTGGCGAACTACTCACTTCACCTTGCTTGCTCACTATATACTGAGTGCTTCGATAGACCCAGCAGTAACCGTTTATCAGTGCCGACCCTCCTGTCCTTACATCAACGATAGTCGCTATCAGAAGTCGAATAAAGAATCAATGTGGTCTTACTAATGCTGAAACCAAAGTTGCAGCACCAAAAAAACTGGAACATATACGGTATGGCGTCAACGTAACCCAGATGTATTTCCAGATATGGACGCAAAGAAGCTAAACCACCAACGCAATCAAGTTGTCAACAAGAGATGGCTTTCTCGCTTGGAATTAGAGCCGATCAGGCGAGGTATTCGAAACTACATAAGAGGAATAGTTTTAGAGAACGCTCAAACACACTCAGATGATCAGTAGCTAGAGAATGCTGAATATAAAGATACATGCGATAGCAAATAGATCAAGATGAGAAGCAAAATATCGGACGAGACGATCAGAATGATAGTGAAGCAAGCGAAATGGAAATCAAAATCGAAGCAATGGGAGAGTTAGAACATATACAGATAGAACTTAGTAATAGAATAAGGTACACATAACCTTCTTACAAAAGCCCACTGTAGAGAAAAGACAAGCCGACGGCAGACGCAGAAACTAATATAACGGTCAGCAACGCTAAAGCAGTTTGAAAGAAACTGGTCACAGACGAGCCTTCCACCACTTACACGTCAACGATTGTAACCGACTCAAAGGCTAAGGCGGAAGTGCTGGCCAAGATCTTTGCTGCCATCTCCATCTTGGAAATCTCCCTCCACGCCCGAGTACCGGCGATTCAAAGGGTCCCTATACTATGCGGGAGGTCAACAGCATGAGACCGTAAGATGGGTGCTCTTGTCGCTCGACATCAACAAAGCTTCTGGCCCAGACTTGATCCTGTCGTTGTATTGAAGAGGCGTGCAGCGAAACTTCCAGTTTTTTCGACGAATCATCCCATAACTTCAACGCGGGTGTTCTCCAGGGATCGGTTTTGGCCCCGACACCGTTCATCTTACACATTGATGATGTTCAGAGGAGGGCTGTCGTACTAGTAGATGATTCTCATCCATGATACCGCCGCGCGGTGGGTCCGGATTAACAAAATGTAAAATGATGACGATGATAGCTGTCGCGGTGCCCTGGTATTTAGGCTTCTGCCTGCGCGGCTGCTTCGGTGTGACAAAAGGCTTTAGCAACCAAAAGAGAACAAGCATCATGACCACGAAATAGACAAAGTAAACAAAGTGCTAGTTAAGTGAGCGAAATAGCAGTGTCTGGATATCCAAGACATAAATAACTTACATGGACGTTGCTGCAGCAATCATTGCGGGGCAAATAGATGAACAGTCTAAGATGACAAAACAAGAACCACAAGGCGACAAAACCGAATCGATCAAGACAGAAAACACCTTTCCCTTTTGGAAGAACTAAGGTCAGGAGTAGTTAGCGATAGTGTCGATCAGCTGATCGACCAAATGGTGAAGGAGGAACATATCCGCCCATATAGACAGCTAAGGTGGAAGAACTCGGTCAAAAGCCAGAGCCAAACGGGTCAGAAGATACCAAGATCGTCACCTCCAATTTATTCATAATAAAATTTCCAGAAATGACACAAAAAGATTTTATCGTATAATCAATATGAAAGATTCTATCACACCACCAGACCCACGAGGAGTAGAGAGTTTCCGGAAAGATATCCTCGAAAATGACGTCCAATGTAATAACGAAGCAAAGTGAATCCAGGAGAAGAGCAGAACATACAAAACGGTACAAGAACAGTCGTGGACAACCCTTTCTATCGGTGACTTGCGCTCAGTGATACAAAAACTACACAACGGGAAGTAGCCAGGTCCAGAAAACATTTAAAATTGTTGGGTAAAGACACTTACGTCTTTGCATCGAAACCTCTTGAGATGTATTAATCAGTGCATACGCTTGTTTGATTTTGGTCTTATGTCTTCTATGATAAAACATATACCATCCTGATGATTACTAAAAAGCATGAAACATCATTTTGTACGGTTGGTTCATTTATATTTATTTCATCGTTTGGGGCAAATACGACCTTTTTCTATTCCTATGAGAGGGTCTGTGAGATTTGACACCAACAGATAGGGCGATTTTTATTTTTGTTGTATAGCCACAGCTTTCGATGCTTGACTAACTATAAGCATCTTTTGTTTTACACAAATCTGACTTCAATTTCCTTAAACAGTTCTCGAAAGACAGGTATGGCCAGCAATTTTTGGCTCCCGTATAAGTCAGAAAGAACTATGGTTGGACTTTACACTTTACGAGTAGCTTACTAATATGGTAACAGTTGCAGAGTTTTTGATATTAGGTCTGGTAAAGGCTAAGTAATCACCAAAAAGTAAAACCACCCCTTTTCCTTACAACGCCGATGGTGTTTGCTGTTAAGGTTTTGATGAAATTTTGGTACAATACTACTATTAGGGCTAATTATGGTAAGGATAAAAAATCTTTGTAGTTTTTGGAGTCACTAAAGTGGACGAGAATTACTGCCAAGGATTAGATTAGGTCTTGTGAAGGCTGAGTAATCACCAAAAAACTAAACTACCCCTCTTCCTTACAACGCCGATGGTGTTTGCTGTTAGGGTTTCTATGAAATTTTGAAACAATACTACTTAGGGCTAATTATAACAAGGATAAAAATTTGTTTGTGGTTTTTTGGAGTCACTTAAGTGGACGACGATTACCGCCAAGGACTAAAAAGTCCTGAATTTTGGCAAGAGTGAAAAGCAGAGGGGTTGTAGGGGAGGACGAAAGGCCTACAAATTTTACTCCGTTTTTCGTTATAGAATAATGTTCAAAGATGAAAGCCCGACGTATTTTCCTTCATATTTCGCGATTCCTACCAAAAGGCAACACGACATTTTCAAGCCGTGTCGTAAACATAATTTAATTTGACTAACCCAATTACGAGCGTGAAGCAGCGGGATGGAGTGGTCGAGGTTTGCACGTGGCCCTCCGTTTTAGATGCCCTGATTGCATTCAGATTAATTCCCCATTTCTACTCTGATTCATAGGAAATTAGGTGGCACTTCAGTGCTGATTAGGTAGCTGTAGCACCAAGATGGCGATCATATTAAATTCTATCCTGACGGCCTTTAATATGTCTTCTCTAACTGTTCACATTTTGTAGCTATTTTCTCAGATTGCAGCTTATGATCATGAAATGACCAGACTTTTTCAGTCAGGGAAAAGCTTTTGTAGGCAATTTCAGGCAAAAAGCTTGATGGATATACGAAAAATAGAGGAGATGTTTTAGAGGGTGATTCCTTGTCCAAAAATATGAAAAATAATTTCTATAAACATGGGTCCTGAAATGCAGAGTTTCCAAGGTACAGGGTGATAAATTTAAGATTTTTTTTCTTTTTCATTAATATCTTGAAAAATGTTTACTCAAATCGGTTGATATTTGGCAATATTATTTGTTGTATCAAGAGACTAGTTTAGACCTAAATGGATTAATATTATTAGATACAGTGGCGTCCCGGGGGGTACCTTAGCGAATATTATTGGCAAAAAATGTACGTCACTGCCTTTCTGGTAACTTTTATATCTGCTGTTTGCTTAAGCATCTAAAAATACAACTTAACTACCTCTTGTATTTTTTCGTTTCTCACTTCGTTTTCGAAAAAAAAACGTTTTATTTGTTTCACTGGACAAAATTGGTTTACTAATTTTTGCTAAAAAAATCACAAGTCTGAAATATGATGAACATGGATAATGTCATCATGATGTGTAGCGCATCATTGAGTACGTACAAATGTATTTGTCTTTCACCGTCTAAACATTATGAAAAGCACATGACTGCATTAATGAGGAACATTTTCGAGTTGTCTTTCTATTAATTTTTTTCTGGCTTCATACTTCAATTCAATTCAAGTATTTAGCTTATTATAAAATATAGTAGCACTGTATGGTCATTTCATCTCGGTAGCCTTCTTCGAAGTATGGTTCAAACAATGACAATTGCGATACATTTTATATTTGTCATTGTCGCTGGCCTGTAGGCGGAGGAAGTACTAGGTGCGCATCTATTACTTTTTTTTACCTATAAGTTTATGTGTTACCATGTGAGTCAAAAGTCATGTGGTATGCATAAATCAACTGTTAACGGTAAACTTCGCACTAGTTTTGGCCGACATGGACGCTCTACAGAGCCTAGAATTCGTTGGATTGTTAATCGTTTTGAGGAAACTGGTTCAGTTGAAGGTCGTAGACCATACCAACATGCTCGTCCAGCTCGTGCTCGTGAAAACATAGCTGCAGTGAGTGAAAGTGTGCGAGAAGATCCAACCACCTCGATTAGGTACCGTTCGCAACAATTGGGAATTAGTGAGACGACTTTGCGCCGGATTTTACACACTGATTTACACCTCCATCCATACAAAATCCAACTAACACAATAATTGAAGCCGGTAGATCATCAACAGCGGCGTGTTTTTGTTAATTGTATGCTGGAAAGAGAAGACGGATTTTCGGCCAAAGTGCTATTTTCTGATGAGGCTCATTTTCACCTCAATGGGTACGTAAATAAGCAAAATTGCAGATTCTGGGGGGCTGAAAATCCACACCAATATCATGAACAACATTTCCTTCCTGAAAAAGTGACTGTTTGGTGCGGATTATGGGCTGGTGGCATCGTTGGACCATTCTTCTTTGAAGATGCTGAAGAAAAGGCCATTACCGTCAACGGGGAACGTTATCGCGGCATGTTAACATACTTTTTGTAGCCAAAATTGGATCCTATTGGTGCCGACGAAATTTCAAGACCGCATAATTTCTCGAAATTCAGATGCCAGTTGGCTCCCAAGATCGTGCGATTTAACACCTCTTGACTCTTTTCTTTGTGAATTTTTGAAAGGAAAAGTGAATGCGAAGGGTGCCCGGACCATTCAAGACCTAAAGCGCAATATTCGGACTATTTTGATGTTCGGATGTTGGCCAGTAAACGAAGCCGCGGTGGTCACATGACTGATGTTATTTTTCATACATAAATGGCATAAACCAACCTTCATTTATCAATAAAAAATTCGATTTCACCTCGTGAAAAGCGTGTTGATTTTTCAAATAGAAAAAAAGTAACAGATGACGCACCTTGTATTATAAACGCGAAAATGAGATATTATGTTTTTTGGATGTTGTATGATATGTATGTTACGAAAAACTATGTAACTCATTTCCGTCTGTCTGTCTGTTGGTCCTTGGCCTACCTATAGCTTGGAAAATACTGCTCGGATTTGCACGAATTATTTACACAAGGTTACTTGTATGCCAAGAACTAACAGCATTATAGTTTTTGAAAATTGGTTCAGTGGCGGCGAGAAAAGGGCTAAAAACGAAAGAAATAGGAACCGCTCAACGTCGTTTTTCGACGTTTCAGAAGACCCTGATCATTTTTGAAAACAACAGGATAAGTTTCAAATATTATATTAGTACACCTATGCTGCGGAATCTTTCTGACTTCTCATCAGGTATATCAACATTTTTGATCATACTAACAGAGCTATTCCATCATCTAATTCAGTTAACATGCTGGGGATGATACTTGATTGTCGGATGTCGTGGGGGTTCCACGTTGAGTGTTTGTGCAATAGATTGCGAAGGAGTTGCTATGGCTTAAAATTCTTAGCAAAGCAGTGCAGTAAACGAATTTTAAAAACTTTATACTATGCCACTGTCAACTGTCATATCCGGTATGGTATTCTCAATTGGGGAAGTAGTTCACTAACTGTAAGAGTTCTCCTGTTGCAAAAATATGCCATTAGAATTATTGATAACCTTGGTTAGCGCCAATCCTGTAGAGAATCCTTTAGAACACTAAAGATGTTGACTGTTATAGGTGGTTACATTTATGAGTTGGCTTTGTTTGTTTTCAAAAAGCGCGAATTTGAAGTCATCAAACACCAGCATGAATATCCAACTAGGTCTAAGCTGCTTTTAATCCCGCCGAGACATCGAACTACGGCATACCAAAAAACATGCAGGTATATGGTATGTAAGATTTTTAATATGCTCAATGATGATATTAGGAATGAATCAAATATAGCTGTTTTCAAAAGAAAACTAAAACTTTTTTTGATAGACAAATGTTTCTACACCTTGGAGGAGTTTTTTGTTTAGATCTATGTTTTTATACTTTTTCAACTCGTCACCACTATTTTTATGACCTTTTCATTTGTTATAGAATTTTCTGTTCTATTCAACAATGAAATAAATTATTATTACTATTATTATTATTTTGGTTTTCTGTCGTCTTCGAGGATTTGTTTTACAACTGTCAGATAATAGAATATGTCTGCTGTATTCGATACAGTTGACCCCGTTTTCTTTCTTTCAAAAAACATCGTATTCCTGAATTTCGGTGTAGCTTTTTCTGATGTCTTTACCACTTGTGAAGGAGTGCGTTGTAAATATGAGCGGAAAAAGCTGACGTCCGCCCACACAAGATATTACATTTTCCTCCTATACGGATAACAAAAGCGCCCTCTTAAGCTATATTTACTGGCAGAGTGTATCTCAAGACGATAACGGCAGCGAAAGGTCACAGAAAATGGAGTTCTCTCTTTTGCAGTATATAAAGTACACGTTTGCCCTTGTTAGTCTTATCTTATAGCTGGTGAGCGCGAATATAACTCGTATGTATAGATGCTATAGGGGACAAAGCATCAGCCTTATTCTCCTCAAAGATTCATCGGGTTCATTT